CCATGGTGTGGGCCAACCACGTCTTTCTGGGCTGCTGGTGAGTGCGGGCCGGGGCCGCAGGACCCGCGGGGGGCGGGAGGGCTGCCTAATGGCACCCTCCCCTTCTCTCCTCTCCTCTCTCCTTGTCGCCCCTCCAGGTACCCGCCGCAGGTCATGGGGAAGGCGCTGGAAATGGCTGAAGGCATTCAAGTGACCGACGCTCCTGTCCGCACCACGAGAGATGAACTGGTTGCCAAGGTGAAGAAAAGAGGCATATCAAGTAGCAATGGTTAGCAGATCATAGCTGTGACAATACATAGGAGTCTAGAAAATGTTTGGTTTTGAATGTTCTCAGTTTACCTCGGGCCTAGAAAGTAGTGAAAATCATTTCGTTTTTAAACTCCCTGTTGTTTCCCTTCCCTGTCCTATTTTTTCCTCATATAATACCTGTAAAGTAGATGTTATGCATAAGTATTAGATTGGTAATGTAGAGCTCTTGTTTTGAATTTCTACAACTAGTGTACTTTAAGCTGATTATTTTTTTAATGTGGTGTAGACTGTTGTACTCCAGCTTAAACGTATTCTTACTTTGCCTTTAGCGCTAGTCAGATGTTAATGCTTTGAGAGAAACTCAGCTTCTTAAAGTGGTATTTTAAAATATGTTTTTATGATCTTAGTAGACAAAATACACGTTTGGTTTTTTTTTTTTAGGTCAGATAATCTGTTTAATGTACTGTGGTTGCTTCTGGTTTGGACTTCAAGAATGGAAATACATACTTGCCTACAGGTCCCAAACCAAAACCTGAAATCTTGCAACTGAGTATTTTTAGTTTTTTGTCAAAAAATACTAAAATATTCTGAAATAGTAGGTTAATGTTTGAAATTACAGTTCAAGGTATATTCCTAATATATACCTTTTAAATTTACGGATAATATTGCTATTTTTTAGAAAATAGGTAAATTGTCTCTAGATAGTTATTTCGTGTTGCAGAAATTAAAGAGGGTAACATACTTTACTTGTTTTGCAGAAGGGCTAGAGGAGCCCTCCAAGAAGCGAGCTGTTGAGAGAAGCAAAGATTCTAAGGATACTGGAAAGGATGTGAAGACAACAAAGGCAGAAGCCCCAAAGGAAACAGAGAGCACATTGCCAAAAAAGCAGGAAAAATATACTAGCAAAGATCCACAAAGCTCCCAGTCCGCTTGCAGTTCAAATAAAGAAATGGTCACAGCATCAGACATAGAAACAGAAGGAAAATCTAATGCAGGAAATACTACTGAGCAAAATCTGTCTTCATCTGAAAAAGAGTCAGGAGAGAAGCCTTGCTCAAATGCAACAAAGGAGAGCAAGTGTGAAAATGTGCCACCACCTGAAAAGAAAACTACAGCAAGTGCAGTGCCACCATCTGCCAAGACTGCCCTGCAGGTGGTGGCAGTGCCTCCGACCACCAAGAGCACCCCACAGCCAGCGGCAGTACCACTGACCACCAAGAGCACCCTGCAGCCAGCAGCGATGGCAGCAACGGTGCCACCAACCGCCAAGAGCACCCCACAGGCAACAGCATTGCCACTGACCACCACAAGCGCCCTGCAGCCAGCAGCAGTGGCAGCGGCGGTGCCACCAACCACCAAGAGCACCCCTCAGCCAGCAGCGGTAGCAGCAACGGTGCCACTGAGCACCAAGAGCACCCCACAGGCAGTGGTGGTGGCAGCATCAGTGCCACCAACCACCAAGAGCACCCCGCAGCCAGCGGTGGTGCCACCGACCACCAAGAGCACCCCACAAACAAGTGCTACATTGCTGTCTTCCAAAAACCAAGCGAGTGCCCCAGCATCAGCGTCCAAGAGCAGTGCTCAGGCAGGCACCTCGCTGCTGCTGGCCCCCAAGAGTGGTGCTCAGGGGGGTACCTCACTGCTGCTGGCCTCCAAGGGCACTGCTAAGGTGGGCTCCTCGCTTCTGGCCTCCAAGAGCAGTGCCGAGGTGGCTGCCTCATTGCTGGCTGCTCGGCAGCAGGGGTCTTCGCTGCTGACTTCCAAGAGCAGTGCTCAGGTGGCTGCTTCACTGCTGGCCGCTCGGAGCGGCGCTCAGCAAGGTCCCTCATCGTTAGGCTCCCGGGGTGCAGCTCAGGCAGGTGCTTCCCTGCTGGCCTCCAAGGGTGGCACACAGGCAGGTTCACCACAGCTTTCCTCTAAGAGTGGCTCGCAGGCAGGTGAAAGCCCTGCTAAGGTTTTGTGCAAACCGTTAACCAGTGAAGATGCAAAGGAAAGACAACCTTTTTTCAACAGACTGTACAAAGCTGTAGCCTGGAAACTGGTTGCCGTTGGAGGCTTCAGTCCCAATGTAAATCATGCAGAACTTCTAAACTCATCTATTCAGTCTGTAAAAGCTACATTAGATGTTGCTTTTGTTCCCCTGAAGGAACTTGCAGACTTGCCTCAAAATAAGAGCTCTCTAGAAAATATAGTTTGTGAACTGAGGTGCAAGTCTGTCTACTTGGGTACTGGCTGTGGTAAAAGTATGGAAAATGCCAAAGCGGTTGCTTCGAGAGAAGCTTTGAAATTATTCCTCAAGAAGAAAGTTATTGTGAAGATATGTAAAAGAAAATACAAAGGTAGTGAAATTGAAGATTTGGTACTTCTGGATGAAGAATCAAAACCTTCAAATTTACCTCCAGCTTTAAGAAATCCTCGTGAGATCTTGTAGGGGAGAATCACTGTTTGTACCATGTATAGTATTTCAACACAAGGACTAAAGGTTAATTTTGTACTTCAAAAATGTAGGCTTCCAGATATTTTGTATTTCTTCCTCAGTTTTGCAAGACAATGATAGTCCTTTCACTTGTTAGCAATTGTATAAAACTTGTTAGAGATGACAAGTGTGCATTTAAAGGTATGCCTTAACATATAGCACACTAGTGTGCTGTTTTATTTGCAAAATAGTCTACCTAATTCTTCTATTTTTCATTAAATGATTAAGGTACAATTTGCTGTTTAAAACCTGACAATTTTGTAATTCTTACGATTTGATGGCAGTGTGCTCAATTGTCTACCATGTCTTTTTTAGCCACGTGGAAGTATGTATATAGGGACCATAATACTTGAATGATTGAAAGTTGTTTAAAAATTTCAATCAAAAAGTTGAATCTTCTGTTTCAGGCATGTTGCTCATAATGTTCACTGTTGTTCATACTAGGAGAGAAAATAGTTGGTTGACTCTTTTTATGGGATGTTTTCCTAACATTCAGAATACAAATGACACCCTGATCCCAGTTAACATTATTATATTAGCAGGTTAGATCCCATTTATTATTATACTGGCAAATAATCAAGTAGCAGTCAAGTCACAGCTACTTACAGAACTCTGTAAGCAGATTTAATTTATATTGTGAAACAGCATTTACAGTTTTTTGAAATAAACATGGATTTCTATACCAAGCATATTTTGACTGCTACTAAAACAATAAAACCTCTGGGATATGCTTTTATAGTACTTTGGTTTTGGCTATGAAATATTCCAGCCATTTCAATAACTTTGCAACACCTTAAGAAAAGCTTTACTTTGAGTGGCTTCAAGGTATAATCCCAGAAGCATGAGTTGTTTTCTTTGGATGCGTAGCTGAAATATTGTAAAACTGAGAGAGTGGACCTATAGAGTATCTATTTCTACTTTTGTAACACCAAGATAAGCAAAATGAAGATGCCGCAGTCTGCTGGAGATGGCAAGTGTATTGTAAAGCGTTCACACTAATTGAGCCCTTCCTTTGCCACCCTTTTATGCCATGTACAGAATGGTTTGAAGCAAAGGAAGTGGGAGATTACCTTTTATTTTCAATGTTACTGAAATACCTGCACAAACTGCATGTTTTGATACATTGGATAATGACATGTAATTGTAAAAACATCATGTCTTCAGTGGTAGTTTGACTTAATCTTGTCCGATGACAGTAGTTAGCATCATTTAATGGAGACCTTACACTTGACTGACAGATCCATTGACCAAGTACTACAGAAGTCAATAGGAATAGTAGTATGTATGTCTACTTAAAGACTTCAAGTTCTTTTGTGATCTTGGGACTAAACCAGAGTGGCATTACACTGTACCCTCTGCGATTGTGAACCACGGTGGCTGTCCAGTCCATAGCACCTGAAGCCTGCAAGGTGCTTGCACTTCCCTGTGGCTGGTTGAGAACTTCCACCATCTGACCCCTGTGCTTCTGTGCCCTTGGTTGCCCATCGCTCTAGTTAGGTTTCTCAGGACTTTTCCCTCTGTTTCTGGAGCAGTCCCCGACATTTGGAATGCAGTGCATTAAACTGTGTCATACGCAGCATAAGAATTGGTGCGTGCTTCTAGCACAGAGCAAGTTTTGTGCTGTATTTAGGAGTTGTGGTATTCATGCCAGGAAGCGTGAGATCTGTTTTCAAATCTTCACCCTGTTGAGGTGGAGATACAGAATGACTGTTTTTGCGGGGCAGGAATTGCATCCTATGGCCCCTGAAATACAGCTTTTCTAGCTGTTAGTTTGGGCATCTCCACATCTCTGGTTGAGAATTGCATCCTGTGGTGCAATGTGAAAACCTGCGTTTCCGTCTGTAAAGTGAAGCTCAGAGTGTTCACTGACCTCAAGGGGGTGTTAGGGTAACTGTGTTAAAAGGCTGAGGTGCCAGATGCCCATTTTTAAAGCCTTGACTTAAGCTTACTTTTTAAAAAATTTTTGAATGTTATTCCTCTTTGATGTTTGGTTGTGATTCATTAAAGGATGAGTCTCTAGTTACTCTTAATAGAAACTGAAAGTTGAAGCGTGTTATTTTTATTTCACATTCTGCATCGAAAGCAGCTCAACAAGCAGATTCCAACATACAAGTAAATAAGTATTAAGTATTTGAATGAGAATTTATAAGCATTTCATTAACCCTAGAGGAAAAAAAAAGTATTTCCAAGAACGGGCTGTGGCGAGAAGTGTTTGTGCAGTCCTGCCAGTTCTAAAACCTCTGGGTCGCTCTTCCAGGTGCTTGTCCTGGTGTCTAGCAACTGGGATGCTGGTCTTCAACCGTCTGACCTTGCTGATGAGGACCGGCTACAAAAAATGCACTGACACTGTAGGTGTGCAGAGTCGTCTTGGGGGGACAAATGAAACCAATCGACTGAAAGAAAACCTGACCCTGGTTTTTCTGTGAGACCACAGGAAGTTGCACTCATTAAAAATTAGTCGTGTTTCCTCTGAGGGCTGCTAGAACAGCTTATTGTTAACAGCGTTTTGTCGGTTCCCCACGGGGAGCTGCCCCGCTGGTTGCCGTCAGCGGGTCACAAGGTATACCCCCATTTAGGGGCTAGCGGCAAAAGCTCGTGTTTGCAG